ACCCCCACTTGAGCTGCGCATGGCTGCCCCACTGTCGACTGCCAGCTGTGACTCACGACTCCTGAGCAGTTCCTCTTGGCCAGAGATCAGGGAGAGATATTACAGCAACATTGCTAACCGCAAGTCCAAGTGGTGACCGCGTTTACGCTCAGAGAACCTCCCCCCACGCCCGAGACCAGAGTAATGACCTTACACTCAGGGGTCAGCAGCAAGCAAGGACAGTCCTGCCTGGAGACAGGGGCATGGCACGGATGGCCCTGGTCTTCCTGAGAAGCCCAGCATCTGGCCCCTGCACTCAGAGCTGGTAGCACACTCTCCCCACTTCCCCACCAAGCAGCCCAGCTGGGGCAGGGGCACAGTCCCCTGCTGCCCCCTCCCCAGGTGAATGAAGGCAGAGGGGCAGCCCTCCTCCCCCACCAGGGTGGGCTGGAGAGAGAAAGGGGAAGTGAGGGAGGCTGTCCTTCCTATCCCTGCCCTTCCTCACACTGGGTCTAGGATGCCCGCACTGGGCAGAGTGTCGTCTGAGCATGTGGCTGCAGTGGCCAGCTCCTGGCGCCAGCAGAAATCCCCAAGCCCGTCAGCAGACCCTGTTCAGACGTGTTTGCTGACCATGGCACTGAGTAAGTACTGAGAAGACACCTGCGGACTGAGGCCACGCCCCCGCCTGCCCTCTGCTCCCAGACAGGCCCTTCGTAGGGCTCCGACCACTCCTCTTCCCCCTGCCAGGACCTGAGAGGGGCCAGGGCATCCACTCCTACTGGGAAGGCTCACAGGGAAAGAAAGGAACACACAGGAACTGGGTTCAGAGCCCAGCTGCATGCTCTTAAGCAAGCTACCTAACCTCTTTGGGCCTCAATTTCCTCAACTGTAAAATGGGACTAAGACCAGCCAGCTATTGGGCTGTCATGAGAATAAAAGAGTGCACTGGCCTGGATCTGCAGAGGGAGGACAGCAGCCAATGGCAGCGGGATACAGCATTGCACAGCTGCCATTTGCAGCTCTAGGCAGTAAATACTAAGTATCAGGGAAGAACTGAGGCCTCAGAAAAGGGAGAGAACCAAGGTTGCTGGAGACAGCAAGCTGAGAAGACCCCACCTACCTACCCTATGCCAATTGGAAATTAAAGAGAATAAAGGGGTTTCGTGGAAGACACTGTCTCCCAACATCCATCCTTCCCAGTTTTTAGCGGGACACCCTGGGCATAAAGACTATATTGCTCAGCTTCCCTTGCAGCTAGATGTGACTGAATGACTGAGTTCTGGCCAATGTGATATAAGCCATGTGTGTGACTCCCGGGAGGTTTCCTTAAAAGGAAGCATGCCCTTCTTCAGGCTTTCTTCCTTCTTCTTGCTGGCTGCAGTTCCAGCAGACATCTTGGGTTACCAAGGCGACCTTGGAAATGGAAACCACACCCAGCAGATCAATAAGATAGAAGGAGCCCTGGTCCCTGACCACATGCAGCCATCAAACCATCCCAGGTATGTTTACTTCCAGAGTTCAAGCACATAAGCAAACAATGCACATGTATCTTGTATAAACCAAACTTTAACAGACACAAGCCTCTCCTCTGGTGGAGCCACCTCACGACTCACGTGTGGCTGGGTGGGGTGGATGAGGTGCCTGCAAGAGAAGAGTTGCCAGGGATGTGACATCCCACAAGGAGCACTTCCTTCTACGTGCCCCGTGAGCCCAGGAGGAGCCCTGTTGGAAGGACTTATCCAAGAGGAGCTGGGGATGAATGGATGGACGGATGATGGATGGATTTTTTTTTAGAAAGGAAGGGAGGGAGGGAAGAGCCCAGGTAAGTGGCTGAGATGAGGAGAGGAAATACCCTCGGAAAACACTTCAGTGACAGAGAGCCAGGCTGGGGGTGGGGAACAGCAGAGCAGGACAGCATACCACCTGGCTCGCTGCCAAGTCTGACTCAGTTTTCCCATCCGTGCTTTGGGAATGGGCCTTATTGCTTCACTCAGGGCAAGTGTGAATTGATTCAAAACAAAAACAAAACAAAACAGAGAATCGTTGCAGCCCATCCAATACCACCTCCTGCCACAGCCCCTCTCTGCGCCTGGGATTCCTCGCCTGTAAGCTAGGGACAGTGACGGAACCCACTGCACTCGGTTGTCATGAGGATTCAGTGGAAGGGCTCCTGTAATGCGCTCATCACAGTGTCCGGCGCAGGGCAAGTCTCAGTACGCTGTCAGAGGTGCTCATTGCTGCTGCTGTCGGAATCCTGCCCTGGGCTATGAGGGACAAAGAGCAGCCTGGAACAGCATCCCCAGCCCCTGGGGACCAAAGGACCCAGCAATGCCCTGGGAGCCCCACACCTTAAACCCACGTCAGGATCCTGGGGGCACGGGGTGGGGTGGGGGTGGTGGGGAGACCTGGCAGGGCAGGACTTTAGCCTGTGGCCCAATGCCTGGGGATCCCCCCGCAAAAACAGCTGTCAGGTCAGGCCCTGACCCTGAGCCCTCCCCGCCCAAGCCAGGTCCACATTTGATCAGGAGAAGCTGGCAAGAGGCCAAGCAAGGCCACAGAGGCCGGGTGGAGGGCAAACACAGGCCCGGGGGGAAAGGGGAAAGGAATCAGGCTTGTTCTGCCGGGGGGAGAGAAGGCTCAGGGGTGGCATCAGTGCCATCTCCAGTCCAGCAGTTAGATGAGATAATGCACAGCATGCTCTTCCTAAGACTCCCCAGAGAAAGCCAGGAGTTAAATTGTGAGTGTGACTGCTGTTCGCGATGAGCAGGGACTTTTAAGAGGGTAGCCGAGGAACTGCCGTGTCTCTCTGGAGGAGCAGAGGAGAAGAAATGGTTTTACATTAAAGTCAGCGTGATTCCGGGTGACCTACTCCCCCCTCTGCTAAATCAGACAAGGTAATGATTAAGGATGTGGATTTTGGAATCGTATAGAAGTCAGTCTGAAGCCACTTTGCACAGTTACCTAGCTTCTCTGTGCCTTTGTTTCTTCTTCTGTTAAAAAAACAAAAAAAAACAGAACTGGGCTCAGAGCGCTGCTGGGAAGATTAATTCAGTGGATGCCAGCTTAGAGCCTGGCACCCAAGACAAGCTCCATAAATATTCTCTAGTGGGGCTGCTATTTTCTCCTGTCTGGGCAGGGATTGGACTAAAAGTGTCTCTCGAGTCCTTTTCAAGTCTAGAATTTCCTGATTCCACAATCCTCTGATTCACTGATTCTGGTTCTAGGATCTGAGAATGGGGGACGACCCGGCTGCACAGCCCTGCCCCACAGGGCCCTGGCCCGCACCTGGGCACAGCCCAGCTTGTAGCCTACATCGCTTTATTTCTGCAGGTAAGCGGGCTTTGTCTCACCCATCGTGTGACCCCAACCCCGTGGGCAGCCTCGTGGCCACGGGTGGCCCTGCCAGCCGTCTCTGACCTCTGCTCTGCACCCTCACCTGGAGCTGGGGCAGCGTGAGCCCCTCTGGCTGACTCCTTCCTCACACCTACAGTCCCCTGACTATGTCACATGCTGTGGAATTTGGCAGGGCCAGCGGGGCCACAGATGCCAACACAAACACCATTCCTATGGAGGGAGAAGAGCCCATGGGGGTTATTTTTAACCTGTTGATTAGAGGCCACAGCTCTGGCCCTGGGAGGCCTGGGGCTGGGGGCTCTGAGGGGTGTGAGCTGTCAGGCTCTACCTCAACGACTCCCAAGGGCTTGGGATGCAGGGACCCCTGCCCTTACACCGCTGTGATGGAGCCGGGGACAGGGAGACACAGATCAGGACGTGCCCCATCTTGCCCCCGACCTTCAACTGGGGCCGAGCCCTGCCGGGAAGAGCAAGGGTGCCATGCACCACAGAACATTAAACCTAGAGATGGGTCCTCGCCAGTCCCTGCGTTGTCCAACTAAGGAAACCGAGGCCTGAGAGAGGAGGCCCAAGGACACACAGCTGACCAGCACAGCTTCCTGTCCCCTTGTCCACCTGAGACCTGGAGTCTGACATGGACATTTCGATCACTCTCCAAGACCACATCCAGGGTGTCACCTGGCCCCACCCGCCTCCCAGAGGACCCACCTTCCCTCGCCCTCTGCCCAGCTCAATGGGCTGAGCTCTCCACAACCTCAAGATGAGCCCCCCAAGCCCTGGCTCATCCTGCGAGGACTTCCTGGGTGCCCACGCAGTGCCCCCTGGAGGGCAGTGGCAGCAGTGGCCAGCACAGCGGGCGGCGCCATCGTGGCTGGAGGCCCAGGAGAGGACGTGCGGGCTGGGGCATGCCTGCGTGGGGGGAATAGGACCAAGCTTCTGCCAAGGGCCTGCTGCTGACTGCTGCTGAGCCTGTGCTTGCCAGAGAGGGGGTGGCAGGGTAGACAATGGACCCCACGGCCCAGCCTCCCGGCCTTGGCCCCTTGAGCTGGGCAGGCAGCTGCCAGCCAAAGCAGCCGCCTCCAATGGTCCCTCACGTAGCCCACGTCCTGCCTGCTGGGTGGCCCTTATCACCGGGTACGTGTCAGGAGCCCACATGCCCACACTCCAGAGTGGGGAGGGGACTGGGAGCCCAGGAGGGCTGGGACCAGTGGGAAGGAAGCCTCCCTTGTCCCCGCCAACTCCTGAGCAGGCCTTTGGTCAGTCTCCCATTCCCAGAGAGACCGTAGCCCCATCTTGCCAAGTCCCAACCCTCAACTACTCTTCTCTCCTGGACTGAGGAGCTGGGAGTGGTAAGCAGCGAAGAAAGGAGGGACCCCTGTCTTCACATGAATACCCAGGGTCACCAGTTCGTGAATACAGATTATGCCTCTTAACGGACTCACATCATAAGTAGTAGCACATTATCCCCATTACTGTTTGGGGCAGGAGGAGCACAGAGAGACTGAGGACTTCCCCACAGCCATACAGCTGGTAGGGACAGGCCAGGATTCAAACTCAGGCAGCTGACTCCAGAGCTAGCTCACTCCCCAGAAGAACGCAGCAGGAGCGGGCCAGGACTGGCCGGAGCTTAGCCCCCTTACCCCGCAGAAATGATGGTTTTGAGGTCTGGCAGACACGGGCTCGGGCCTGGAACTGTGTGCTTTAGGGCCAGTGAAGTCCCCGTCTGGGCCCGTGTTTCCCGACCTGTAAAATGGGCACAGGGATGTGGGGCAGAAGGGGCAGCGGCTTGTGCCTCCCGTGGGGAAGGTGCTCTGTGAACGCTACTCCCCTTCACTGGGTGGAGCTCAAAGTGCTTTGATGGAAAGACTAGAATGTCCCCTGCTTAGCCAATTGAAGCCACCATTCCAGCCTCCACTCCCTCAGTCCAAACCTCAGTCCTTTCCCTGGCACTGGGACTCTCCCGCAAGGCCCTGACATGCTGGCCAGGTGGCCCTCGGTTCGCCTGCTGAGCCCACACACCACCCGTTAGCCCTCTGTGGGCACTGGGTTCTCCCCGTCTGCTCTCCAGGAAGACTGTGAGCCCTGCGGTGGGGCCAGGGGGCGGTGGGGCTGGCGAGTTCCTGCCCCCTCTGTGCCCGGCCACAGTCGGGCCCTACGCAGGTCCCAGGTCCCACAGCCACCCGGCTGGGCCAGTCTCCTCACTTGTCAGATGGAGGTCACATCCCCTGTCCAGATCCCGGCTTGTGAAGACGCGGTGAAGCCTCGTCTGTGACACATCCCCCCCCCCACCGTGACACTTCCTCATGACCTCTGCGAGCAGACGAGGACCACGGTGGGGGGTGGTCAGGGAGGGGGCCGCCCGGGAGGACAGCAGAGACGGACATGGGTGTCAGAGAGGGCGGCAAGCAGAGGGGTTTCCCCACCCCGGTGAGGCCGCCCCGGCAGGGGAAGGAAAGCTGAGGGCTGAGTCACCCGCCATGTCCAATCTGCTGGGAATCTGCTGCCTTCCCAGCCACTGAGAGTGGGGTGACCACAGGAGCAGTCACAGGAGACACAGCTACACCTCGGGGAGGGAGGTGGCCAGGATGCAACAAGGACGGGAACTGCGCAGGCCCTGTCTCAGGGGACGCTAGAGAAAGCAGGCGGAGGGACCCGGAGCTGGCGGGCAGACCCAGCTTCTGCCCTCTGGACCCTCCGTCTGAAGGAGGAGACGATCTTTTCTCTCGGGGAGAGGAGGGAGATCTGCCTTCCTGCAATTCCCAATCTGACAGGGGAGTTTGGTCAACTTCTGCCTGAAGGGAAATCACACTGCGACGGGGCTTGAGCAAGGCCATGCATTTGTGCAGTGACACCTTCCCAGCTTCCTCCAGACCCTGCAGTCTGACAGGGGAGGCAGCCCTGCCCTCAGCCCCGGCATCGGGCAGCCACCAAAATGAAAGGGGAGACTTAGCTCCTGCCCTCTGTCCTCAGGGAGCCCTCTGTCTGAGGGGCGTCTGCACCCAGAGCCCTCAGCTTAAGCATGTGTGGAGCACGTGTGTGCATGCATGTGCATGTGTGGAGACTCTGTTCTAGCCCTGTCAGGGACCACTCCCCGTCTGCTGAGGGGAGAGGACTCCTCCCAGTAAGCAGAGAGAATCCTTGGCTGGGCCCAAGGCAGGGGGACTCCCCGAGAAGTGCTCTGGCAGCCTGGAAGACAGGGGTAGGAGACGTAAGCGCCTCCACATCTGGTCTGGAGGTGGCTGCGCTCGCTGCCCTGAACAGCTGGGCTGCATCTGGCTTCCAGACATCCACCTCCTGGTCTGTGATTCACCCCAGTCTCACATGTCCGCCGAGACGTGGGGCGTGGGCGTCTCGCTGGGCTGCACGTGCTCTCCCACACGCATGCGCGGCTCCAGCACACGGGGGAGAGGGAGGCTGGGGCTGAGGCTTAGCAGGAGCCCCTTTTTTCCTTCCCTCTGGCCCCCATGTTGCTTCTCACGCAGCCACTCTGGTGGGGGGAGAGGGGGGACCAGTTCACCCCTGAGTCACTATGACTCAGTCTCCCCGGCTGGAACCCTCACGCTCAGGCTTCGAAGGCTCCATGCAGGGACAGTGAGCAGACTGGGAGTCAGCAGGATGGAGGCCCCAGAGCAAGCTGGGAGCTCTGAAAGCCCCCCACCCACTCCTTCCAGGCAAGGAAACCTCCAGGAGAGCAGAGGATCGGGCTGGGAGGGAAAAGAACACGTCAGAGAAAGAGGAAGCAGAGAGCATGTGGCATTTCCCCTCAAGTGGGAGTTCCCCAAGAACAGGGCTATGTCTCCCATCAGACTGGGGCTCCCCAAGAACAGGGCCATGTCTCCCCTCAGACTGAATTCCATGAAGATCAGATGGGTGGCATCAATTCCATCAAACTGGGTCAGAACTGGATCTCCTTTACCATCTAAAACAGGTGACTCTGGCTGGGCACAGCGGCTCATGCCTGTAATCCTAGCACTCTGGGAGGCCAAGGCAGGTGGATTGTTTGAGCTCAGGAGTTCGAGACCAGCCTGAGCAAAAGCGAGTCCCGTCTCTACTAAAAGTAGAAAAAATTAGCTGGGCATGGTGGCGCACACCTGTAGTCCCAGCTACTCGGGAAGTCGAGGCAGGAGAATCGCTTGAGTCCAGGAGTTTGAGGTGACTGTAAGCTACGATGACACCACAGCACTCTAGCCTGGGCAACAGAGTAAGACTCTGTCTAAAAAAAAAAACAAACTTAAAACAGGTGACTCATCCACCATCTACATCATTTGGGGGTTTTCAGACGGGGAGGAGTGGGGGCTCTACTTCCCAACAAACCACCTTCCTGAGGAAGGACAATCTTGCTCACTCACAGAGGCTCTCTGAGTGAGCAGCCTGTTCCTAGCTCACCCACTCACCCCCCTGGGTGGTCCCATGGGCAGCTGGGCAGGGAGGACTCACAGGTTGTACGTGCAGGGCCTGCCTGGGCCTGGTGGGGTGAGTGTCCAGCTGAGAGACGAGGCTTTTCGTAGCATTATCTCATGCCCGGCTTCATTCATCTGCGGAGGGGGCAGTGGCCGCAGGACCATTTGAGCACGAGGAGGGGGCGGACAAGCCTGGGCATCTTAGGCCTGTGGCCTGAGGAAGCTGGGCTTGGCAGCTTCCTGCTTCCATTAGGCCAAAGCAGCACAGGAAGTGGGTCCCAACCCCCATCAGCTTCCCCTTACCCTATGCTCCAGCCCCTGGGTTAGAGGAGGAAGAGGCCTCCTACCCCAGTGGGTCACTGGGATGGGCGTCCCCACCTTGGAGTGGATGTGCTTGGTAGGGAAGGAAACAGGAAGCAGCCGGACAGACCTGGGAACCCCTCCCCACCCCCTTAACCACCTCAAAACCAGGAGCCAGGCTCTCCCCAGCCCTCCATCCCCATTCCTTCCTGCCTCCACTTCACTGCCTGCACCTTTTTCAATGAAATAAAACATAAGGCCAGGCCAGGCCAGGCATGGTGGTTCACGCCTGTAATCCGGGCCAACGCTGAGGCCTCTCGAACCAAGCAGCAAGACTGAATATTTGCCCTCCCCCAGGCTTAGGGTTTTTAATAAAAACCTTTTATGATCACGTCAAAAAAAAAAAAAAAAAAAGCATTCTGGGAGGCCGAGGCGAGAGGATCACTCAAGGTCAGGAGTTCGAGACCAGCCTCAGCAAAGCAAGACCTCTTCTCTACTAAACATAGAAAGAAATTAGCTAGACAACTAAAAATAGAAAAAATTAGCCAGGTGTGGTGGTACACACCTGTAGTCCCAGCAACTAGGGAGGCTGAGGCAGGAGAATCACTTGAGCCCAGGAGTTTGAGGTTTCAGGGAGCTAGGCTGACATCATGGCACCCACTCTAGCCCAGGCAACAAAGCGAGACTCTGTCTCGAAAAACAAAACAAAACAAAACAAAAAACACAGAAGGCCATGCAGAGACTGGGCTGGAGTGGTTGCAGTGGAAGTGAAGACTCCCGGGCCCTCCTTGTTCCACTGACAACCTCATCTGCAGGCTGGCGGGATCAGAGTCGGTCCTCCCACCTAGCCCTGAGAATGGGGCATTGCTATGGCTGAGGGTGCCCTGAGACATCAGCCCCACGATACCTATGGGGAGACCGAGGCCCACGACTGCTGCAGAGTCAGGACAGATCCTGCCCTGGGGTGACCCTGCCAGGCTTGTGGTCGACACTCACTCTGCCTGCGTCGGGGTGGCTCCTCTCCCAGCCTGCCTAGGAGCTCTCTGAGGTCAGGCATTGGTCTCCAGCTTCCTCAAAGAGGCTGGGTAGAGGACTGAATGGGGACATGCTAGGTACAGACCTGGGCTGGCCCCGAGGTGGGATTCTGCAGCCCCCTTAGCCTGACCTTTTTGGCTGCAGCACCTCCTCACCTCTGGGCCCCTTCTTGGCCCCCTGCTTGGTTCCTGGCAGCCCAGACTCCTGGTGCCTAGGGAGGGAGGATCTAGGGTGGCACAGGCAGCTGGACATCCAGGCCAGAATGAGCCCCCTGGAGAAGCCCCCAGAGCCTGGTGCAGGAGCCTCTCTCTCAGCTGGCAGAAGGGCAGGTGGAGGCCCCCACACTGTCCCCTGCTCCTGGGCCCCAGCCAGCTGGCTGTGCTAGGCCCAGCATGGCCAGGTCCTCCCCCATCCCGGGTCTCCTCTCCTCTCACCGCCTCCCCACCCTGAACTGATCCCCTTTTCAAGTACAGTCTTTGCCCCAGCTGTCTATCTGAGCACAGACTTGTCCCCAAGACACCTATGCCCTACCCCGCCCCCGCCGACCTCTGCTCATCCCACCCTCCATCACGCCTCTCCCCCCAGGAGCCACTTTCCCCAGGGCCACTGGGCTCACCACACTCTGGGCAGAGCTCTGACCCTCTAGGAGAGCTCGGCCTCCAGCCCAGAGAAGGTTCTCAGCAGAGGCAGCAGGGAAGGGGCCAGGATCCAGCTTCCCCAGTAACCCAGCGTGCCCACCCCCAGGAAGTCACCCAGCCCACTCTCCTAGCTGTCCCCTTTGTCAGCCTATACCATCCCTCAGGCAGCAAGTTCATTAGGTTTGGAAGCGGCCTCTCTCTTATCAAATGCCAGGAGGCTGCAATCAGCTCTCCGGCAGGAAGGGTGTCAACAAGCCCAACCCTCACACTAATTCATCCTCTGCAATCTAGATGGAGGCTCGCCACCTCGCCACAGCACTAGCCCTACTTGGCACACCTTTCCAGTCAGGTAGCTTTTTTTTAAAAAAAAAAAAAAAACTTTTTTTCTAATTGTGGTAAAATGCACAGAACATAAAACTTACCATCTTAACCATTTTTAAGTGTACATTCAGTAGCATTGAAGGACATTCACATTGTTGCAACCCGTCACCACCATCCATCCACAGAAACCCTTTTCAACTTGCAAACCTGAAATCTACCCATTAAAACACTAACTCCCACCCCTCCAACTCCTTGCAACCACCATTCTACTTTCCGTCTCCATGAACTTGACTCTACGGGTACCTCATTAGAGTGATGCGTCATACAATATTCAGCCTTTTGTGATTTGCTGATTTCACTTAGCACCCTGGCCTTAAGGTCATTCGCACTGTAGCATGTGTTAAAATGTTCTTCCCTTTTGTGGCTCAATGATTTACTGTTATATATCTCTATGTACCACTTTTTGTATCTCCATTTGGGTAGCTTTTTATTTACATGTTTAGAAAATCAAAGTAACTGTAATCTCCACGTAACAAGTCTGAACATATAATGTGAAAGTAGACTTTTCCACCCTCTCCACTCTGCTCGTGGAAAGCCATTTCTGGTGAATCCCTGACATTTTTGAGGCAGATGGGCCAATCAATAGTTTATATCCATTTTTTACACATACAGTGACATGCTCCTCAGCAGTGCTTCTCAGAGGTGCGTGTGGCCTCAGCAAGTCACATAGAGAACAAAGCACAGGCCGCCAGGGCTCCAGCCCAGGCTCCTGACCCGGCAGTTCCAAGGTGGTCCGAGACTCTAGGACAAGGGGGTCCTCAAACTTAAACAGGGGGCCAGTTCACTGTCCCTCAGACCGTTGGAGGAGCCGACTATAGTTTAAAAAGAACTATGAACAAATTCCTATGCACACTGCACATATCTTATTTTGAGTAAAAAAAAAAAAAAATGGGCAAAACACCCGCATGTGGCCCACGGGTCGTATTTGAGGAGCCTGCCTCTAGGTTTCTAACAGGCTCCATATGGGGTGCTGATGCTGCCAAAGGGCATCCCCTTAGTCGAGTAGCTCTGTCCCAGTGATGTCCTGCCACTTGCCTTTCCCCTTAGCGAGTATCAACACACAAAGCTCCAGCTCACTCTTTCTAACACTGCACACTACTCATGGTTGCTTGGACTTCCATAAACATATCTATCTCAAAGTTCCCCACTGGATGGGCTTGATGCTGCTTCAGTTTTTCTCAGGGTTCTGAAAACAGAAATTTGCAATGAACACACGTGTACCATACTTTGGAACACTGGTTGACATTTATAATACTGCGTATCTTGATAACCCGCTAGGATGTTGCGACCCCTTGCGCAGTGGCTTGTGAATTAAATTGCTCCTTGTAGTATACGCAATCACTTCCACAGCGACGCAGGCTTGCCAAGCGTGACTCTGAGGATACCTGCCCTCACGGGAGGGGCTGCCAAGTTTAGCCTGCTCTGTCAATTTAAATTGGTGAAAAGAGACATCTTCTCATTTCTTTTATTTTTTACTTTTTGCATTGTTGACTGAGGTGAGCATTCTCAACCTGCTGTTACCTTAGAGTTATGCCCTTGTCCTGTTATGTCTTTGCCCAGTTTTTCTTATTTTCTTTTCCTTTATGACATTTTAACGAACTCTCTGTCATCCTGATGTTGTGTTTTTTGTTGTTTTGTTTGTTTATATTTTGACGACAGAGTCTCACTTTTGTTGTCCAGCGCTACCGAGTCCGACGTGGCATCGCCGTCCCAGCCTACCCGCCTCCCACAGCAACCTCAGACTCCTGGGCCAAGCGATCCTTTCTGCCTCACCTCCCGAGTAGCTGGGACTACAGGCATGCCGCCACACGCCCGGCTAACTTTTTTCTAAATATATAAGTTGGGCCAATAATTTCTTTCTGATTTATAGTAGAGATGCGTCTCGCTCTTGCTCAGGTTGTTTATCGAACTTCCTGACCTTGAGCAATCCGCCCACCTCGGCCTCCCAGAGAGCTAGGATTACAGGCATGAGCCACCGCACCCCGCCTTGTCCTCTATGTTGAAAATGTTTTTTCTAGTTTGTTATTTGCATTTGGACTTTAGGACGTTATATTTTTTAAAAAAAATTTTTTTTAAAGACGGGGTTTTGCCATGTTGCCAGGCTGGCCTCGAACTCCTGCGCTCAAGCGATCCTCCTGCCTCAGCCTCCTGAGTAGCTCAGACTACAGTCGTGCGCCACCACGCCCAGCATTACATTTTAATGTAGCCAATTTTTTTTAAATAGTTCCTTTTGTGACTCCTAGGGTTTGTGTCATACTTTCCCAATCCAAGAATATATGCTTGTAGACTTTCAGATGTTTTCTTCTAGTAATTTTAGGGTGTTTCTTTTTACATTTAAATCTTTGCTCCATCTGGGATTGATTCCCCCTAAACAGGTAGCCAGTTGTCCAATTTGATTGAATTTGATTGAATAATTCATCTTTTCTCCTCTCATCTAAAATGTCAATTTATCATATATTTAATTTCCATTTGTTCACGGGTGTGTCTGGACTCTACTCTGTTCCTTTGATCTGTCTTGTCTGTTCTTCTGCCAGTACCCAACTATTTTATTACTGGAGTGTTCTACGACATTTTAGCAGCACTAGTCGACCCTTATAATACCTCTTTTTCAGAATTTTCCAAGCTCCTTTTGCTGTTTATTTCTCCAGATGAACTTTAATATAATTTGTCAAGTTCAAAAGATCTTGTTGTTTTCCGCATCTTCTAACAGATGTGATTTTCTGATTTCTCAGTGCTCGGCCAAACAGAAACAAGTTGAGAGGAATGGGGTGGGTTGGTGGTCGGCTTGAAGCAGGCAAAGAGACAGTCCCAGAAGTGCCGGCTGACAGGGAGGGAGTTGATGAAGTGATGAAGAACTACACAAAGCAGACACAAGAAGTCTGAAAATGTAGCCATCAAGGAATGGGCCTTGAGTGTGGGGCCAAACAAGGCCCTGGATTTCCACCGTGTTACAACCAGGACAGTGATGGACACTTGTAACCACAACCCTGAGTCATGGAGACTCACATGTTCTCTAACCTCTGATTAAGATGACCGGAAAGTGTGTAATACCCACTAGTGATTCCTATCCAAAATGTCTCTTTTTAAGGTTTCAGATATTAACGTCTGGAAAATTAATGTGAAATGGTTCATTCCCGGGTGATGACATAAATATGGTATGCAACTGGACTCTCCATAGTTTTCCCAAAACCCACCTTCAAGTTCCAAGGAGCTGCCAACGCTGGGATTTGAATTCACTCTATCAGTGGAAACAGAGCTGAGGGAAATGTCCCCAGCCTTTCAGCCAATCCAAACACAGAAATAAAAAAAAAGTTTTACCTCGTTCTGAGCATCTGCCTCCAACATGTGAGGCATGTTACAGGCAGATTGTGCTTTAATCCTCAACAGCCCCACTAGATAAATGTTGTGCTCCCATTATACAGAAAACCGAGGCTCAAAGAAGCCAGACAACTTGGACAAGTTCAAGCTAGTATGTGACAAAGAGCCCTCAGCCACATTCACTGCCACATTCCACTGACCAGTCCCCCCCAACTCACTCCCACTACCACCACCAGGAGGTTCAAAAGGCAACCGATCCTATTGTGACATTCCTCTGCAAGGCCCTGCCACCTGCCTGGCCCAATGCCTACCGAGCTGGGGGAGGCCTCATCCCATGCACGTAAGTGGCATGCGCAGCAGACAGGTTGGAGAAAGGTGCCAACCTGGGCCATCCAAGGAAGGAAGGGACAGCCCCCAGGTGCCTACCTGCCAGCCCCAGAGATCAGGGATTCAGGAAGTGAGGAGGGTGCCCCTGGGTCTCAGGAGCCAAGATGAGGGCACTGGCTGCCACAGCCTGGCACAGCCTCCCCAGGTTATCCCAGGATGCAGACCCTGTGTTCACCATACCACATCTTTGCCAGTAGTGTGGGCAGAGCCCAAATGGGTCCTGGTCACCCCAGGAAGTAGGAGCTATACATGTGACATACAGAGGGAGGAGGTGACAGGGAAAGGCACTCCCTTGGGAATTCCCCAATCCCAGAGGAAACAGAGGTCAAAGAACTCATTGTTTTTCTTCCCAAGCCAGGCTTTATGACGCCTGCCTGGGATTCAGGTAGGATTCAGGTACGGGGAGGTGGGAGGGTGAAGGGCCTTCAGACTGAGAGCTCCTGGGGCAAAAGTAGGATTATTATGGTCATGAATACGGTCATGAATCTAGCCCCCCAGAGGCCAGTGTTTTCAGTGCTCTGTGAACCCCCAGCCCTGGATCCGGCTGACTATTGGGCAGAAACCCTGAGAATAAGGAAGGCAAGCGAATGAACTCATTCCAGCACCCTGGCATGAAGTACCTACTATGCGCAAAGGACTGCGCTATAGGGGCGAAGATAAAAAGCGGCCTGGCAGGGGCACAGAGTGGAGACTAGAGCCTGGGAGCCGGTGGGGGGCAGGGGCTCGCGGCCGAG